TCTTGTATCCCTGTTCTCTCCAAGACCTTTATCATAAAGTGATGTTGTATTTTTGTAGAAATCTTCTTCTGCTTCTAATTAGGTAATCATGTGGTTTTGATTTTTCAGTTTGTTTATAAGGTAGATTATGTTGATAGATTTTGAACCACCCCTGCATCTGTGGGATGAAACTGACTTGAACATGATGGATGATTATTCTGATGTGTTCTTGGAGTCTATTTGCCAAGATTTTATTTAGTATCTCTGTATCAATGTTCATGAGTGAGATTGGTCTGTAATTCTATTTCTTAGTAAGGTCTTTCTGTGGTTTGGGTATCAGGGTAATTGTAGCCTCATAAAATGAGTTTGGCAGTGTTCCTTCTGTTTCTATTGTTTGGAATAATTTGAGGAGTATTGGTATTAATTCTTCTTTGAAAGTCTTGTAGAATTCTGAGGTGAAACCATCTGTTCCTTTGTCTTTTTTTTTATTGGGAAACTTTTGATAATTTTTTTTATTTTTTTCAGAAATTATAGGCCTGTTTAATTTGCTTTCTGGTCTTGATTTAATTTTGATAAGTGATATATATCCAGAAAGTTGTCCATTTTCTTCAAGTTTTCCAATTTTTTAGAGTACAGGTGTTTGAAATATGACCTGATGATTCTCTGGTTGTTAGCTCAGATCGGTTTCTGTAAATGTCCCTGGTCTGGATCATACCTGTGTAGGTACCTGGCTTGGGGTTCGTCCTGGCTCTGATTTATTCCCTCAGCTTTCCCACGTTCATTTCTGTCCAGGCCCTCAGAGATCCTGGCTGAGACGTACTTTCTCAGAGGTCCCAGACTCACTCTGAACCCACAGAAATCTCTGGTTCCTGCTTACTCCCTTGGAGGTCCCAGATTCATCCCTGGACTGTCAAAGGTTCTGCCTTGGGCCCAGTTCCCCAGAGGTCCTAAACTCATGCCCAGACCCACAGGGCTTAGGTCTATTCTGTTGAAGATCCCAGATTCACATCAGGATCCTCAGTGTTTGCTGGCTCTGGCTCAGTCACTCAGCAGCTACTCCCCTGTACCTGTTCCTGTGGAGTTTGCTATCTCAGGTCTGTTCTAGATCAGGTAACTGGCTCAATCTTGGTCCACCAATGTCCCTGTCCAGTGGAGCTTGCTTTCTCAGGCCTACTCTGGCCTAGGTAGCTGGTTCAGTCCTACTCATCCATTAACATTTTTTTTTTTTACATTATCTGTTTGAAGGGAAGATGTACATGCAGAGGCATGGTGGTGATTTGGAATATGGTAGTAATGATGAACTTATTTGAGGCATATTAAAAATGAGAATCCATAAGACTTAACTAATTGCCTCCTAGAAGAAAAAGAAGGTATCAAAAATGATAGTGTTATAATTTAATGAGATGAGTAAAAACTATGGTTGGTTTTAGGTAGATGATGAGATTTAGTTCAGTTTTTGCTATGTTTGTATGCATGTGCATGCGTGCTGTGTAGGTGCATATATCCTATGGTGCATGTGTAGATGTCAGAATACAACTTGTAGGAGTTGTTTCTCTCATTCCACCTAATAGGCTTAGGGGATTAAACTCAGGTCATCAGGCTTGGTGACAAACACCTTTATCCATTGAGTCATCTTGCTGATTCAAGTTTAGTTGTGAAAAATCTGTTTGGTGTGCTTATGAGATAACACAAATGCAGGTAACAGGTAATAATGATAGTGTTTTAGTTTATAGTGGAGCATAAAGAGCAAAGTTAGATACAAGAAATTGAAAACCATCCACATAAACATGGTAAACGAAATCCCTAGAATAGGTAATTATAGTTAAAGGAGAGAGTTGAACAAGCAAAGAACACTCTGTCATATCACCATAAACATTTAAATATTTATGATGGCACCAAGAAAAGGAACGGCAAAACAATAGCCATCCAAGTAGAAGGAAACCCAGATTCATAAGAGTTTTCCAAAGCAAAGGAAGGAGATCGTATTAGTAAGGGTGATCATCTTAGGTAAATGCTGTAAAGTTGCCAAGAAGACTAAATTTAGCAGTGTAAGTGTCATTGTGACCTCTTCAAGAGTTATTTTGATGGAATTACGTGGGGGGCAGAAGGCAGATTGGAGTGGGTTGAGGTGAAGAAATAGAGACAGAAATGTAGATAATACAAGAAAATTCTGTTTAATGACAGGAATGATACTGTTAAGTAATGAAGTGGCCGAAATACATAGGAGTTTGCTTTGTTTGCTTGCACACTGCAATGTCTAGAACAGTTTTGAAATCCAAACGTAGAGACCAACTGAAGATATAGACAAGCAAGAAGCTAACTGACAATTTAAATTATTAAGGAAGACTAATTGATATGGGGTGCTGAGAAGGTTTAGCCAGTGATGTTCTTTGGAAACACGATGGGAAAACAAAGCAGAATCAGCATTGCACCCGTCAGGGTTAGAAATAGAACTGACTCTAGGTTTAGTGCAGAGGTTTCCTAGTATATTTTTTTTTCAGATTTTGAAAGGAAGGAGAATTGTAGGAAGGAAATTTTAGAAGACAGCTTAGATTACTTTTGGTCAACTTGCCTTTTTTCTTTTCATTCTACAATTCCCCCACTTATGATCATTAAGAAGAAGTGTAATACAATGCTTGAATGAGATCTACAGAGAGCATTTCTTGATTTTGTCTACTATCACCAACTTGTATGGCTTTAATTAATTTACTCAAACTCTAACTTTAGTTTATTTCTCTGTGAAAGAGATATTTTATCCATATCACAATCTTGTTATAAAACTAAATATACAAGGCGGACATAGAACAGTGCCCATAAGATACACTAGTTTTGCTTTCATGGTTAAATGTTTCCAAACAAAAACTTAAAGTTATGTGTAGAATCAAAGAGTTGTGAGGAGGCTGAATTTGTTTCTCCCAAAGTCAGTATTTTAGTTTTATGACAAGAGTGAAAATCTAGCAGTTATTCTTGGTTGTATAGAGTTTTTACATAACAAGAAATTAGAGATTTCCAATAAATCCCAGTAGGGAAGACTTGGTCCACAGAGGATGGACGTATGAGTGACTTTTTTTTTTTTTTAATAAGATGTCTTGAGGCTTGTTTCCTCAGCCAAAAGTCCAGAAGCAGAGACAGCACCGGTTGAGGTTTTCATCCTTTCAGCTTTACTTTCTATTTTATTTTTCTATTGCATTCTATTTTTACTATTGAAGGAGAAAAGGTTGATGTTGTGATTGGGAAAAACATCAGTGGCTTCTTGGTGAATCAAGTGAAGCCATTTCTGTAAACAACCATATAAGGGAAGGTGAGTACCATAGGAGGGAGATCTCAATCTTAAACAAAAACACTTGCTGCCTATATTCACTACAAACATATTGTGTCAACTTAGTGACTTGATCATAAAGGGTGACAGATGACAGACACAAATACACTTGGATGTGATGGGTAACACCAGTTTGGAGAGGGTAGATGGGAACAATTAGTTAAATGGAGCTAACTAACATGATATCTTGAAAGTCGAATCAGAAACGTGTGCTGTCACACTTGATTAATTCAATCTGCATTAATGAAAAGCCTAGCTTACATGTACATAATAATATGCCACTTTATTATTTTCAGTACATTCTGTACATAGGAAACAGGCGAGTGTTTCCTAGCAGAGGTCCCACCAGACCAGATCCTGCTTGATTTACAATTAGCACATTTATTTGTTAGTATGCAAATGAAGACTGCCAAGGTACTTAGAAAAAATGTGTTATTAAATAAGTGCAGCATCCTTTCTGTAATCTTGCTCCAACTATTCATTAGTATTAGCAATCTCTTTTTTTTTTGGTCACAGAAGGGGCAAATTTAATATAATACCAGGTAAAATTATAGAAATTTGCACAAAGGCAGTTCCTTTTGTGGAAGGCTGTGAAGACGGTATAAAGACATAGCAGGCCTTCAAATAACAAATGCATGACACAGATCTGCAAACATCATATAGAACAGTCTAGATCAGGTCCACATTGCAAGAAGCTCTTGCAATTTGCACGTCCTTGACCATTTGCTCTCAGGTGTGGCGAAATTAAGTTTTTAGTAAAAACTCAAAGCCACACACTACTACTGACAGTGTCTGACTGGCCAAACAAGTTTTCAGGTGCTCTGAAGATGGGTGGGGGTGAATAAATATTATCACCGCCTACAATACAGTCATGAAGGTGTAAAGCAATACAAAGACATGATGACACAGAGGTCAACAAGTCTGTAAAGTCACGCTGGTTAAGCTCAGATTCTCGACTCCACATCAATTTGATCCACATCACCCTGGATGCGTTGAGTTTTGCATCTATATATTTGCATTTTAGTAGTCCTATGCAATCTAGAAGATTAGGGTGAATATTTGAATAGATACATGCCTTAAAGCAGTTAGTAATGTACCAGCCAAGTAGAAGCCATAAATAATTACCAACACTTACCCTTTCTTTAGCTTGGCTTCTTCCTGTTCAAATGATTCCACTATACATTGGCTCAGGGCATTAAATTCTACCTCTACCTCTATGTTGCTTACGTGAGTGGCCATTCACGCACAGCTTTCCTGTGGTTCTTCACCGTTTTGAAATGTGAAAAGCAGTTTCTTGAATTGGTTCTTTTTTGGAGCTGTCTTTTTGTCTTTAGACTACACTAGTCTTTCAGATTAGTGAATGATAAAGCTATCACTTTAGAGTAGTCACGGCTCAGATACAAAGCCAGGCTACTTAGTATGTGCCTGTACATTTCTCATATGACCCGTGAAAAATAAAAACTGTTGAAATAGCTCCAGAAAGCTCAGATAACGTAGACACCAAGATTGTGAGCTGTAAATACAGAATGTTCCACTTTCTCCCAGTTATCAATTTACCAATATTTACTGATTTCTCACTATGTGCTAGGCCCTCGTTCGATTGCTGTTCCATTTACTAGGGAATGAATGTAACCCTAGGTGTCTGGCTCCAAAGTCTGACTCTCTTCTATAGTCTAGTAATGCACTTATGGGCATTTGTGTCATGTCGCCATTTACCAGAGAAGATAAATTTTCCCTTTTTAGATACAGCAGAACCATGCACCAAGGAAACCGAACTACTATCTCTGGATTCTTTCTCCTGGGACTCGCAGTGGGGTCTGAGCAGCAGCTGCTCACCTTCACAGTGTTTGTATGCATGTATCTGGTCACTATGGTGGGAAACACACTTATCATTCTGGCTATTATCAGTGATACTCACCTCCACAGCCCCATGTACTTCTTCCTTGCCAATCTATCCTTCACTGACATCTGCTTCACGACCACTACAGTCCCTAAATTGCTGGCAGACATTCAAACCCGGAATCCATACATCTCTTTTGAAGGATGCCTTACACAAATGTATTTTTTTATGCTCCTGGTGGACCTGGACAATTTCCTTTTGGCGGCCATGGCATACGACCGCTACATTGCCATCTGTCACCCATTACACTATGTTGCACTGCTAAGTCCCAAGCGCTGTGCCCTGTTGGTTGTGATTCCATGGGTTATCTCTAATCTCATCTCAGTACTGCATCTCAGTCTACTAAGCCGCTTGCCTTTCTGTGAACGGAGAGTTGTCCCACACTTCTTCTGTGATCTGGAACCCATTTTGAGGCTTGCTTGTTCAGACACTAAAATCAACAACTTGCTCATCATCGTTGTTGGGGGAGCAGTTATCTTCATCCCTTTCAGTTTCATTCTCCTCTCCTATGCACTTATTGGCGCTGCTGTGCTTGCTGTCCCCTCCGTGAAAGGGAAGTGGAAGACATTTTCTACCTGTGGCTCCCACCTCTCAGCAGTGTCCCTCTTCTATGGGTCTATTGTTGGCGTCTACTTTCTTCCTGCTTCTAGCTACTCGGCAGAAAGGGATAAGGTGGCTGCCATCATGTATACAGTTGTAACACCCATGATGAACCCTTTCATCTACAGTCTAAGGAACACAGACATAAAAAGGGCACTGAGGAGGCTACTCAGCAAAAGAATTTTTTTTTGAGTTGGTGAACTCTGCCATATAGACATCTTTAGCAACGTTTAAAAACTGGAAAGGCACGAAAAAGATCCAGGACCTAAGGCTACTCCGTACCATTAGCAGCTATCCTTCCACCAACTTATTAACTTCAGTTCTGTCCCAAAATTCTAGTTCAGAGTTATTTCATCATAATGAAAAGAATCATGGCAATGAAACCAAACAACAATACTCCTTTATTTTACCCCATATTCTTCATTGCTTACATAAAGTATCTTCCTTAAATAAATTCATAAATGTATAGCCAAGGCTTAATAATTTCCCCCTAAGTTTTCAATTGTGTCTTTTTCTTCCTCAACTAGACTTTACATACTAAATTGTTAATATTAAAAGAAGAAGGAATGGAGAAAGGGAAGTAAGGAAGAAGAGAGGGGAGAAGGGGGAAGAGAAGGAAGGAGGGGAAGAGGGAGGGAGGGAAGAAAGGAGGGAGGAAGGAATGATTATTACTTAAAATACCTTTTATAGATGAAATAATGATAATGTTACAACTTATAAAGAATAACTTCTTTCTATAACTCTTTGAGATAATCGTTATGGTGTTTTCATGTGCTGTGTAAGAAAGAAAGTATGTATTATGAGAAGAAAGTGCAGAGCCAAAGCACAACAAGTGTCCTCTCCTTCTATGTGCCCTACAGAAGCTCTGTACCAATTAAATTCTTCTGCAGTTCTGCAATTATGACTCCGCACCCCCTATGTTTCCGCACTCACTATGTTTCAACTGCTCTTGGCACATTCTCTATTGTAGCTACATTGGACAGTTTCTCATTCCTTCAGCAGTCTATGAATTTGCCACACTCTAGTCTTTGTCATCTATGTGCTTTCCTTGAAATGTGTTTCACTCTCTGTTTCTGAAAACATTCAATGCTTTCTTTTTGGTTCCATCTTAGACGTTATATCCTCTGGACTCTCATATTACTCACATGGTACTAGGTACAATTACTCACGTTTTTCTTTGTGGCTCATATAGCACTTTAATTTTCAGGATGTGTGTGTGTGTGTGTGTGTGTGTGTGTGCTCATGCACCAAACATTTGCTACCACTGAGCTATATCTCTAGTCCCTAACACATTGATGAACACTCACGCCATAAGCATGCTATATTACTTTAAACAATGGATTGTAACTAGTAAGATATTTTTATATGTTGTCCAAAGAACTCTAAGCCCTTGGAGGTGAGGAGGATGATTACGTTATATTAACCTCACAGCTTTTGCCAGAAGGTAACTCTTGAAATAAAGTAGTTACTCAGTAAGATGAATTGAATAAAGTAGATATTTTCCAGAAAAAGAATATGTAGGCTTTTTCTCTGCTGATTTTTTTGTTAGTAATTCTTGATAAATTATCAAATTGTTCTGATCTTCAGTTTTCTTCTAGTACATACTAAGAATTAGTTATGCTAATGTCTATTTCCTATCTATTTCTGTTGATCATAAAGAACAATTAGTAATTAAATTTGTCTGAGATAGAAGCCTGTAAAAATTTCCATATTAGATAGGTACCAATATTAATTTTTATTGCTGGATTATCACAGGTTGTCATTTTGAAGAATAACTTCTCCTGTCTCTAGTCTTCCTTATAAACACTTACTTTCTTTTTTAAATTTTAAATTTTTTAATTTTTATGTATATTTTTTTGCCATGTTTGTCTGCCCCTCTTAAATATCTGGTGCCATCAGAGGACAGAGAAGGGTATCAGATTCCCTAGAACTGGAATTACACATGGTGTGAACCAAGATGTAGGTGTTGGTAATTGAACTCGTGTCCTTTCTAAGATAAGATGCTCACATATCTATCTATCTATCTATCTATCTATCTATCTATCTATCTATCTATCGATTGATTTTATTCTTCTCTCATACAATACTTCTCAATAGCCTCTCCTCCCTCCACTCCTCCCAGTACCCACCCCACCTTTCCTTTCCCCAGATCCACTGCTCCTCCATTTCCCTTCAGAAAATAGCAGGTTTCCCAGTGATATCAACTGAACACAGCAGTCAGTTCTCTTAGCCACTGATCTTTCTCTGCAGCCCTCACTGCCATAAGAAGCTTCTCTGACTAAAGTTGGGAGCAATACAAATCTGGCAATACAAACAGAAATGTTTAGCAAGACCATTTATCAAAACAATATCAATAAATTGTCCCTTAGAATTTATGACATCCCTAGCTATGGGATTTGGACATATTTCTAGCACCAGGTATAAATTTCTTCCCATGGATTAGGGTTCAAAGCCAATGCAGAGAGTTATTGGTAAGTCCTATAAAGGCATTATTGCATCAGTGGATATATCCTGCCTGATAGTCAGTCATGTTGCATTCAGGGTCTAGGGCTGGGTAATGCCACTGATGTCTTTCCTTCTACAGCAGCACATATAGCTCCCTCCTTCCCAATGAAGCTAACTAGCAGGGAGCCTTTTCTGATCACTTCAAGACCAATTTCTATGTGTCCTGCAATCAAAATATATAGTGTCTTCAGCAATAAAGTCTTATGTAGTTATGGCAGTCAGCCAAGAGCAATAGAAAAAGCCTATCTGGTTGTTGGTGCTTCTTGAGCTTCTCTAACTGATTACTTATAAGGAGATAACCTGTGAATGATACTGACATTTTTATTTAATAGCCCAGAGGAACAATGTTCATTAATGTTTGGAACTCATGTTCAAATTTCTTTTAAAAAGTATATATTTAGATTTATAAATTAGTGGGGTTTCAGAAGGCTTCTACTTACTTAGTTTTGTTTAACCCATTTCCAATCCCTCCTCTTTGTCACAACCCATGTCCCCATCTCTGCTTAAGCTTTAAGCTGCCAGTATTATTCTTTCCTCATTATTCCATATGAAATATGTCCTACTATCTCTCTTTTATATTTTAACTCTCGTTTCAAGATCATATGTTCCCATGAAGCACCTTCATTTCACACACACACACACACACACACACACACACCACATATTTCAAATATTTAGTTGTTTGCAGTTCAACAGGCTATATATTAAGTATACTCTTTTCAAAAATTAATTATTTTATTTAGAATTTTTTGTATTATTATTTTGATCACATTCAATCCTCACCATCAACTTCTCCCAGGTCCTCCTCAATTTCATGTTCTCTATTTTTCTTTTTCAAACTCTCAATAAAAAACCAAGTAAGACAAAAATACCAAAACAAAACAAAAACTGTGCACGCACACACACACATACACCCAACCAATCAAATAACCAACCAAACAAAAAAAAAAATAAAAACAAAGGCAAAAAACAAAACCCACTACCACCACCACCAAAAATGTGGAGTCCATTTTGTGTTGGCCAACTACTCCTGGGCAAGAACCATGCCGTGGAGTTTGCTTGATTTACCCAGTGACACTCTAGTGAAGAAAACTATTTTTGCGCAGCATATGTCAGCACGAGTAGCTTCTTGGTTAGTACTGTTAAATATTAGAAGTGTAATTTAGCAAAAAAAAATGATACTACATATAAAATGGACTTGGTCTGATTTTGGTACTGAGAACAGTCAATGCTGTGGGCTGTGTATGTGTGTGTGTGTGTGTGTGTGTGTGTGTGTG